ATGAAAAAGGCACAAAGCTGGAGTTATTCTGTGTCTTTGCTGCACAGCTGCCTCTTCTTCTCTCATTCTCCCCCCTCCCTCTCCCGTTTCTACTTCAATCATGAAACTGATCAATGATCAGCTGATCGGCTCTCTTGTTTGTTTATCGCCCACTTTGCGCCGAAAGAGGAAACCAGCGGATGTCGCGCTAAACAACAGCAGCACGTTTAAGCTTGATCAGCTGTTGTTAGAATTTATTTAATATTAATTTCTAGTATCAGCTGATGTTTGCTGGAGCCACAGCTGCAAAAAAGCTGCTGGTCATGATATGGTTTGGTTATCTGGTGAGAGGGAAACATGAAGATGAAACCAGGAGATGTCCTTACTGGATCATCAGAGCTGAACAGGTGATGGAGAAACAGGTTTACCTTTTAGGTGACATGAATGAGTTGAAGGGAAGTTATGAACTGTTTCTGAGAGACAAATAACACCAGGATCCTTTTTTAGGTAGCTGACAGCTGGTAACTGTGCAGGTGCGGATCTAGCAAAGTGTTGCCAGGGGGGCATGTAGGGCATTAACAGGGAAAGGGGGGCACAAAGAAATACTTTTCTTTCTTATTCTCATTTAAAATGTCTAGCTTTTAAAAAATAATTATCTGAATCTTACAACAAACGATTGATAGATTGATGCATATATACCATCAAAACAGTGTACATCACTGTCACAACAGTGTTTATTTTCATTCAAAGGCTTTATGATTTTTCCTATAATGGTGGGCCAGTCTCTAGTCAAAATGTCCGGGCCATTTTCTGTCCCAGTCCAGCCATGTATGCAGCTCATCTGCAGTCTGGTGTTGCCTACATCTTCCTATTCAGAAGGCAGAATTTCCGAGTTCTGAGTACAATCGAAAGCACCACGACTGCAGTTTTTGTGTTGGATGTAAAAGGCGCAAATGACGCTGTGACGTAGGCTAGAATCATGGCAGCAGTCAATGACGGTCCAGGCGTGGGATTTCTCTCGTGGAAATATGCACATTATCTTTTCCTTTCTAGTGGTAGGTGGCACAGTGCACTTGTGGCAAGTAAGCAAGCTAGAAGACTGGCAAAGTCATGGAAGAAACACATTAACAAGAGAATTCTGAGTAAAACTAAAGTTACTTTCCCTAGTAACTAGTTACTTTGAAAGTAACAAGTAACTTGAAGTAACTGAGTTACTTTTGAGAGAAGTAACTAGTAATGTAACTAAGTTACTATTTTAAAGTAACTTACCCAACACTGGAAATCAGTCATAGTCAAAGTCATATATCCTTTATGTTTTTACCTTTGACCTTTAGTTTCACTGATGCAGTTTTATATATATTTAAACTGTCTTACCCACGACTCCTCGGTTCTTCACTGTCTTCACGCCACACAGAGGTTTTTCATCAGCAGAAATGTCAGATAGGAAAGGATTGTGGAATACTCTGATGCACCTGCTGGTGCACCAACTTAGGCACGCATGTCTTTTTACTGACAAAACATTTAAGTAAATTGTTGTAGTTAAGGAAGCATCTCTGAGTTGATTCAAATCAAAAAGAGGATGTCATGGTTATGGGTCAGGTGACCAAGGGTTCTGAGCTTTTGCAATTTCATTGCAGATTTTGTGATGTGGGCTTTGTTCGCAGACTCTGTTAATTGAGATCCTGTTTCTCTTTATTCTTTAGCCTTTATTATTCTAGTTGCTCCGTTTCTTTGCCGCTTAACTACTCCCTCAGTTTTCAGCCGATTTTCACCGTTCAAACTGGTACTTATTACTATTATACTTTTTAAAATATTACACTTTTTTCCTTTAATTTGTCCCATTGAAATGAATGGGAAACTTCCACAATTCTGCTAAAACTTGCTTGTCTTTGAAACTTAACTGCTTCCTCATACTTTCACCTAGAAACTCCATTCAAACTTTAAAATGTTCTCAAATGATTGGGCTATTCCTGTGTGATTCAGCTTTTTCATATCTGTTACCGTTTTCATTTAATGCCTCTTTAAGTTCTCAGTTGCAGCTTTGTGATTTTTCAGAAAATACATGTGTTGCTATGGTTGCTATGCAATTAACTCAGAGTGGACAGTGAAACTTTGTGAATTTTCTCCTCATGTCCAAACAACTTCTTGCTACTCGCTCAACTTTCACTCAACTTCCTCAAACTATACATCAAAACGTAGGTATTTTTGCTGGCTTTCAGAAAATGTCACTATCATTGTTGTGGAAGTTACAGATTTTTATTAAATCGCCTCAGAGCAACACGATGTCTGAAAACTCTCCATACAAAGTGAATGGGGACTTTGTTCAAAATCACAGCTGGAACTCTCTAATGAGAGGCATTTTCAAATCGTCATATCTCCTTAACAAAGCAAAGTTAAGACATGAGGCTTGTGCCAATTCATCTTCAGACAGTGCTGACACTCAAGGTCGAAGCAGTTTTTACAGTCATCTTACCGTTGAGCCATAAATTACGTTTGTTTGAGGGGTGGAAATCTGTCCTCCTCTCATTTTTCAAACTCCGAAAATGAAGCCGTTTCTTCTCTCGTCATATCTCCGCGACTGAGATATGAAATCACAGTCCAAGTAAACCAATGTCCGCTGATTCACCCAGTACAAGAATTATGCTTCTATCCCACCTAGTTTTTGAGTTCGTGGGTTCAATCCCACCTTGTTCAACATTTTTTTTTCACTACAAATTAATACACTATCACAGACAAGTAATTCATATTGATAAGTTATTACAATTCTGCAAAGTTTTATGATTTTACCAGCTTTTCTAATATGGATCTCAGATTCTTGTTAACAGTCCATGGCAGAAATACATACAAGTACACAGCCTGATGAAGCAGACAGAAGCACTACCTCTGATTGGTTCAGCATTTTCACCTCTTATCAGCACAAATCTCAGCCTCTTCTGCTGTTTTCATTAGAATTTTAAGCTTTTCCAGAAATTCTGCTCATTCAACTCTTTTCAGCAGAAATTCTGCTGATTGAACTCTTTTCAGCAGAATTCTGCTCATTCAACTCTTTTCAGCAAAGTTTTCAGTTTTTTCTGCTGTTTTCAGAAAAAAACTCTTTTCAGCAAAAATTCTGCTAATTGAATTCTTTTCAGCAGAATTTTCACCTCTTTTCAGCAGAAATTCTGCTGATTCATCTCTTTTCTGCAAAGTTTTAGCCTTTTCACCTCTTATCACCACAATTCTCTGCAGCTTCTGCTCATTTCAGCAGAATTGTCAGTCTCTCCACCTTTTCTTCATGAGCAAGAGTTTGGCGCAGTGACATGAATAGCTGCCTTGAGACCACAAGGGCCAGGTTCAAATCCTGCTCAGGGCAACATTTTTTTTTTCTTTTAACTTTTTCAGCAGACATCTTCAGCGTTAAGGCATCCACACAGCATTTTCACAGGAAATGGAAATTTTTTCTAGTTCTGTTTGGGTTTCCTTGTGCTTATGACTTTTTTTTATTCCCACTAGTTCCCTATTCTATTATTTTATGTCTCTAGTTTAGTCTGTTTTGTCTGTTAGTTCTCCTCCTGCCCCTTTAGACATCTGTCTGTGTTTTATTCTTTTGTGTCTCCTTGAAGTCTTTCATGTCTCCATGTATGTTTAAGTTTTGTCAATGTCAAGTTTGGGTATCTTGTCTCTCTGTGTTTATGCTTCCTGTTTTATTTTAGTGAGCCTGTGTCCTTTGCGCACTGTCCTTTGTCAGAGTATCTGTTGTAGTTCCTTTTTCCGTTGTCCTTCGTGTTTCTCAGTACTAGTGTGTTTCGTCATGCCACCTCCTTTGAAAGAAGGAAGTTATAATTTAAGGGGTTTTTGTAACTTCAAAACAATGAAGGTACGTACTACAAGAAAAGGCTTTTGTGTTTCTGTTCATGGAGTGAAACTATGGAACAAACTGAATATGGAATTAAAGCAATGTCCAAACATAAAACTGTTCAAAAAGAGTTATAAAAATATGATCTTCTCGATCTATAAAGAAAAGGAAAATATTTAAATTACGTGAATGTCTCTATTTAAAAACAAACAAACAAACAAAAAATTCATGATGTGATATTATAGTATATAGTATATCAGAAATCTGTTCACTATCTTTATTACAAATTATATCAGTAAGGTAGCTGACTAAATATTCACTGATAATTTATGGCAAAGGGGTGGGATTAAATAAGTGTATACTTCTTCCCACTCCCTTTCAACATGTAAATTAATCAGAATGTTTTTTTGTATGTAATTTGTATAGTATTTTTTTCTCTCTCTTATTTCTTTTCTAAATGTACTTGTATATTGTTCACATGTTGAAATAAATTACCAATCAATCAAATTGTGTTTTTTCGTAGATGTTTAGTTTTCTGTTTTCCTCATTGAGCTTTTGTTTCACCCATTTGGATGTTTGCTGCTTTCGTTCCTTTTTTGCCATCAATCAAATACACAGTTCGCTTTGTTAACCTCTGCCTGCTCATGTCTGCATTTGGGTTCAACTCACCTTCAAATCTAAACACCCTGCAGATTATGACAGAGAAGCTATTAGTTTGCTTAAGAATATTACAACATTTCCAGCACAGCAAACATTGCCTCACTTTTTGTGTCAGGTCTATATTGGCCACAGGTAGATGAAACTAACCCTGCTCAAAAGCATCCAGAATGATCATAACATTTATCCAGCATGTCAGCATACGTGTCCTGTCATCACAGACAGTTAAAAAATATGAAGTCAACTATATGGAAGAAAAATTAGGAGGCTAAATGGAATTTTAATAAAGTGGAGCAATTTAAATGTTGTGTTTGAGAACAATGAGATGACATCAGAGATCTATAAATGATAAAGTGAGTCTAGGGTCACTGTGAGTCAGTGAAACAAAGAGTTAGCATACCTGTAGAATACCTGCAAACCTGTATGAATTGTCAGTTAAGCATAATTTATTCCATATGTCCAAGCTTTAACATTTTGTAATTTTTTTCTATTATGATTTATATTCCTGTAATATTAATGTCCATATTCCAAAACATTTCTCATTTTTTATTACACGACTCATTACATTATTATCCATTTCAAAGAAAGATTAAAGGCCCAAGTGACTTCCCTTCTGCTTCACGGTTTCCCTTAGTGAATATGTTAATATACTTATACTACACACTACTCTGACTCTATCGGTGACCACAGAAAACTGCTGTCAATGCATTTTTTCCCCCCAATTCATCTGACATTACATACCACAAAAACAAAGAAGTGAAAAAAGCTTCACTGTTTTTCAGAAACATTTTCATTTCTACAAAAAATACTAATAAAACGACACCAGCGAAATGCACAATTTTACAAACATCTTTGACCTTGCACATTAAAAAGGCTAAAACAAAATCTGTGTATATGATATCAAGACTATATGCAAAACATGTCAAATTATATACAACCTTTGTTTTGTAAAAGTATTTGAAGACTGAATCAGTGTTTACTTTCAAGAGGGACTTTTAAATGGATCATTGCGTCGTTCTGTGTTAACAGAAGAGTTGTCTACTGTGAAAGCTACATTCTGAATACCAGAGGTTTTCTGGCCAATATTTTCCTCCTTGTTCTTACTGCACAAATTTTTACATTTCAAAAGATTAAACAGATTATTTCGCAACTTCTGTGAGAGCATGTATAGCAGAGGGTTCATACAGCAGTGAGAATAGGCAAGCATTTCACAAATACGGTAGGCAACTGCTAACCGTTCCTCTGCCTTACAACCTATGGGTTTATAAAGAGATTTAATTAAAAGCACAATATGGTATGGCCCCCAGCAAATGAAGAAGACTGCAACAATACACAACAGCACAGCTACAGTCTTGTGCTTCTTTCTACTTAAACCTTGTAAAACTGTCTTGAGGATGGCAGAATAGCAAAAAATAATGATGGCAAATGGGAGGAAGAATAGCAGTGACACTTGGAGATAACGTCCAAGCTTGTCTTCAGATCCATCATCACAATAGTTCTGATTATCCCAGTTTATGGCTTTTACTTTAATTGCATCACTCAGGGATGCCGAGATGCTGATGATCCAGGCAGCTATACAGGCGCCGATTGCATACCTCCTTCTTCTAGCACGGTTGCTTTTCCAGTTTGGCAGCACCACCCTAATGAAACGGGCAACTGTCATGGCGGTCAGTAAAATGACACTGCTGTACAAACCAACAAAGAATACGGCAGTCATTAATTTGCAGACAAAGTCCCCAAAGACCCATTGTTGTAGGTGATCAACGGCCCAGAACGGAAGCGTGATGGTGAAGATCAAATCAGAGCAGGCCAGGTTCAGGATGAAAATATTTGTGATACTTTTCAGGCCCTCGTAGATGAAAAGAACACATAAGAGGAGACCGTTGCCTATGACACTGAGGATGAAGATCAAGATGAAGAAAGGGCCAGTAATACTGGGAAAGTCACTGTCACAAAGAAAATGGACTTCATTGCTTGTCATGTTGTTTGCCATTGTCGATTTTCTACAAAATATAAACACAAAATAAGATTTTTTCAACACATTTAAATACTATAACTTAGCTGTTTTCTCTATACTGACAGAAACTGTGGATTTTAGTTTTAGTTTAATATTTAAAACAGAGACTAATACAGGGGATTAAACACAGAAACCTACCTCTTGTATCTGCCAGCAAGTGTTCTGTTGAACTGTACTGTTCAGGAAAAGCTGCGATGATCTTAAGCAAACCAACAGTTCCTCTTTCTGTTTCACACTAAGTTCAAGATAACGCCCAAACCAAAATAAAAAACAAACAAACATTTTGTCCACATTTAAAATGAAACTTAAACAAAATTACACCTATGTTTCAATATCATTCACAACTAATTGTCTACAGTTTTGCTGCACTGATCAAAAGATAAAGATAAAGTTTTATTTATCTGATTTTTTATTTTTATTTGGTAAAGCCTGAAAATGCTGATGATATAAAGTTTGATAATAAGCTACTTTTTTGGGAAGAAAATATATCCTGCTGAAAAAAATGGAAACAATAAAATAACTTTGTAAAACTAATTGATATAATAACATAAACCCCTAAAACAGAACAACAAAGAGATATCTGTAATGTGGCATACTCAGTAGAAGAATATACTTTTATAATTACTACAGTAGTACAGCAATAAAAGGCTCTTTGATCTAAGAACAGTTTTGTCACAGGTAAGTGCATGAAGAAAACTTAACATTTTCCTTCTCATCCAAAGATTGTTTAGGTGATAAAAACAAATATTAAATATATAAAATATGGAAACTTAAGATGTTGTATTAGTGGTTTAACTGGTTAAATTAAAGACGTTCAGCAACCAAGATTTTGTTGTTGTTTGTTTTTCATACATGCTAATCTGATGGCTGAGTCTGCACCTGCTGAACTTGCCTGCTTTGTTGAACCGAACATGGAAGATGTTAACACACTGGATCAATCGTTGAGCCTTTTCTATTATCATACTAAGTGTTTTATTTGAGGCTTCTTCACACTACACTCTAACTGATCTGCACCAGGAATTTGGTCCAACATGATTACAAAATCGACCTCTTAAGTCGACAGGTCAAAGTGCAATTTATTTGCTAGTTGCTCGCTTGTTGAAAAAGAAAGTATGCTGTTAAGAAAATATTAAAAGATATCTCTTTCAAAATAAATAAACTTCAACAAGATACAAAAGTTATTTTAATTTTTTTTAAATGAAATTCATTGAGAAAAATAATCATAATATCAAATGTATATAAAAAAACAACAACTTTTAAAGTGATTTTTTTTTTTTTTTTAAAGGAGGAGGGAGCCTAAGGTTACATCATTTGCCATTTTACAATGCTGTGATTGCAGCCATTCCCCAACTCTCTGTGAATGGTACTCATGGCCAATGATCAGTGGTCTTTGATCAATGGTCATGAGAATTTGCATATTTATGATGAAGGAACTGACCTCCCAGCCCATTGTTCTTTCAGTTGGCTGGTTTCAGTCATTATGCAAATGTACTGCAGTCGGCTGAGAAGAAGTCCCTTGGATGAGTGACAAAACATTTCTCCCACTGAAAACGCTACGTCCAGATGAACAGATTCAACTTTTGGAGACATGTAATCATAGTGACCGATCTACAGTATCACTACTACAATACAGTATAATCAACTGATCATTTTGGAGTAGTGGAAGTTTAAAATAGAAGATTCTGATTAGAAAGTATATAAACACAGTTAAAAACATTAAGAAAAGGTATTGAAACACAATGTCAAACTGAAATTGTCACTTCTGTTTCTCTTTATATCAGGGGTCTCGAACTGCAGGCCTCGAGGGCCGGTGTCCTGCAGGCTTTAGATGTGTCCTTGATCCAACACAGCTGATTTAAAGGCTAAATGACCTCCTCAACATGTCTTGAAGTTCTCCAGAGGCCTGGTAATGAACTAATCATTTGATTCAGGTGTGTTGACCCAGGGTGAGATCTAAAATCTGCAGGACACTGGCCCTCGATTAAGCATGTTGCCATGGTGATTTAGCCAGGTAAAAACAAAGTCACTTTTGTAACAGAAAACTTAATCTTGCTGTGTGGTACACCCCTTTGGCATCAAAAAAAGTCAGACTCTATCATTAATAGTCGCTGCCAACTTTTTTTGTTGTTTTTTTGCTTGTACTATATTAAGTTCAGCTAATTTATCTAATCAAATTCTCCAGCATCTACCCATCTCATCCTAATGCATGCATGCTACAGTAAATTCAAATTTCTTCCGCATTTTGGAGAGGGATTAATGCCATTGGACTGTCAGTTTTAGTTTCATCTCTGCACAGGGATAATGTATTGCACGGCATGGGAAGATACCTCCTAAACCTTTGTACTCCTATAAAATGCACCAAAGGGATAAAGCAGCAGTAGATGTGAATGATGGGATGAATGATCAACCAAGCATAGTGCAATGCATATATCAGTTCACGTGTGTACTCATAAAAATCCAATAGTAGCAAGGACTGTATAAACATGTGGATGCTAGAAGGGGCCAAACATAGAAAAGTACTGACAGTTATGCCTAAAATCAATTTTGAAGGCTGTTGTTGGCTGTTTATCCTGCCCTGCTTCGCCATTATCCACATGTGAACATAACAGAATGAAGTGATAAGGACAGGAATGAGAAAGAAAAGAAAAATCTGTGTGTAGATTTCAGTGAGTTTCATGGTTAGTGACTCCACCAAATTTACACACACTTTAATGTCAGCAAATTCAATGACTCGACAACTCACAGCCAGTTTAATGCTTGCAGCAGCACACACCAGCCACATCACAATGCTACCTATGAGAACACCATATTTTGTTAAGGCCTGTGCAGACAAGCACCAAGGCTGAACCACAGTAACATAAGAATGCAAAGACATGGCAGTGAGGATCACCACGGCGGTGAACAGTCCCAGAAAATAAATCCCTACACCTACTCCGCAGGCCCACTCTCCAAAGACCCACCCATGGAGTGCATTACAGGCTGCAAAAGGCAATGTCACAGTGAGGCAGAGGTTAGAAACTGTGAGCTGAAGAAGTAAAATATCCGATGTGATCTTCCAAGCTCGTTCCGTCCAGAGGACCCACAGCAGGAAGCTGTTTGCAGGAAGGCTGATGAAGAAGACGAGACTGTTGACAGCAGCAGGATAGTAAAGTTCTGATATCTTAATGTCATACTCGATCTCGCTGCTGTGAGTCTCATTAAAGTGTATGTAATCATAACTGTCACTGTCCAAAGCCATGATTTACTTGTTTAGGTCTTGGGAGGAAAGTACTGTTGAGGAAATGAAAAAAAAATCTTATACTGTGAAGATGATTTTTTTATTTATTTCTTTATATATAGTAACATAATTAATGCATTTTGGTACAAATATGTTAGTCAAGATAAAAACTAATGCAGTTTAGAACCAATGATTATAAAGTTGAACAGCATAATATTCATGCCTTCAACAGCATTCAGGAAAAATTAAATGTAGAAACAAGAATATGGAATAAAAACAGAAGATACTGAATTTTGTCTCAAAATAAACCATTTTAAATAAAATGTGTTTAATCAGAATGATATGACATCTGTCACGGGTTGCCAGGGCAAGCAGTGTGCGATTACTTAGGATCCAAGATGCAGCAGCTGTGGTGCAAGTGAGTTTATTAATCAAATGTAGATACAAACAGAGATGGCGAGGGTGAGCATGAAACTTAGAAAACCTAAACTGGGAAAAACTAACCAGATGCAGGGAGGCACGGGGAAATACACAGAATGACGGACGGAGAGACGCAGACAAACCAGCAACAAGGACGAGGGAACACACTAAATACACACACCAGCAATCAGGGGATGGGAAACAGGAGGGAACCACACCTGGGAGACATCACAGCTGACGAGGCAGGGGAAACATACACAGAACGCACTGACGTCAGACAGACACCTTCAAAGTAAAACAGGAACACATACATGTAATGACACAACACACACAAACTTAACACAGACTGGGGAACACAGAACGCAGGAACATGAAACGTGAAGAAGGAGAGTACAAAAACCCAGAATAAACAAAACCACAGAATAATAAAAACATAAACACGGAGTCACAGACTCCGGACCATGACAACATCAGAGATGAATGGCAAATAAAGCAAGTCCACGGGGGTTATTGTGAACCAGTGAAGAAAATGGTCACAACATATAATGTTGCTTGCATAACAGCACTGAAGTTTTATTTAATATTCCCTGGTTAATTCATATCGCAGTAATATCAAATTCCACCCCATATTCCCACATTTCCTTACATTTCCTATATTTCTGTCACAACTTTTATTTTTGTTAATAATAAATAAATAATTGTTAAGATAAATAATAAATATTAATATTTTATTATTACATGAATCATTTCTATGAGTATTATCACCTAATTCAAAAGAGAAAGACAGCCAAGAAGAGCCTACCTTTTGCATGCACTCTGTGTTTCCCTCACTGATTGTGTTAATACACTTACACTTCGTACTAATATGACCACAGAAATTTTCTTTCATTGCATTTTTTCCATCTAGCCTATCATGACATGTGCAAAGAGAAAAGAGAAGTGAAAACAGCTTCACTGGATTTCAGCAACATTTTCTTTTCATTTTCTTTTTTACAAAAACAGCATTGCTTGTAAAAGTGCAGTAGAAAAGTGCAGATTCTTAAACGCATACATTTTACTTTTACTTGGCGCATTAAAATGAAAAAATGCATGTCATTTCAATTGAATTTCAGGAGAACATACCCGTCGAGTCTACAGTAGCGCAAAGTCTATACGGTGACCGTAGACACTGTAAAACTTGGCCCGATAGGAGCTCAGAATCCTGTTATGGCTAGTCATTGCACATCATTATAACACAGAAGAAAAGAAAGGGGATGGACAGTACGGTAGTGCAATTCATCCAGATCGGTGATTAGTCAAAAGTCTAGGGTGGCAAAAGGGGAAAGAAGAGGCTTGTGATTGGTGAATATAGTGCAATGAAGGAAACTTCTGTTTTTCATTCAGTCTGTTGGTTTTTTTTCTTTATCAGGTGATGTTTCCAGCTCCTTTATCCCAACTGATGCCTGGACTGCTGTTTTTGGTCTTCAGTATGATCACAATGTGTTATTTATTTATTTTGAGTGGTTTACAATGACAGCACAGTATTATCAGTGTACAAACAATAAAAGCATCTAGTTGTTACTCCAACATCGATGAGGATTTTCCTTTGGCTCTTTTGAACCAAAACAGGTTGGAAAATCCCCTGAAATTAACAGCAATTGAGAATGAATTGCTTTCATTTCTTCTGTGTTATTATGATGTGCAAAGACTGGCCATAGGAGGAGTGCCCCGATGAGACGATGTAATTGTTTTACTTTTATACTGGTAAATTGAGAAGGATTATTCATACCATTGTACTGTCATTTGTACTTGTCTGTACAAGCAAGAAAATTAAAGGCATACCCTGAACTTCTGACCCCCACACGGAGAGACATTGTTGCACTTTGCTGCCATGTTAGGGTCCACTTCTCAAAGGGAAACGAGTCGTAAAATCAGTACAAAGTTGCTATGAGAGATTATCTTTGTATTGTGACGTAAGTATTTGAAGAGGGGTCACTGAATAGATGATTATGAAAATGGTGTGATCATATCTTTCACAGTCACTAGACCTCAACCTATCTGGGGGAAATTTGACTGTCATAACAGACAGATAATAGCTCTGTTAGTGTTTCCGAATCAATTCCAGGAAACACTGAAGCTGTTGCAGAGGCTTGTGTTGTACAAAAACTTGTGTTTGCCACCTGCTTGTACACATTGCTTCTGTGGTTCTGGTCTGTTATGTGTTTCTACATAGTTGTGTCTTCTGAACCTGTTGGCAGAGAATGCTATTTGTGTGCAACTAAATAAAAAACATATCAAACATATTTCTCTTTCTATAGATTGTATTTATTTATACTTGTATGTTTGTATGTAAGTGGATGAAACAGGAATACAGGAAAACATCACTGCAGGATAGTCAATCAGTGAACTTGATTATAAATGCAATGCAAGGGGCTTTACATAATTAACTGTGTACAAAAAGTCAAAAGTGCCTGTCAGGTATGCTGGAATCATACACGTTACCATCAACAATATCACTGTGAATGTTACACACTTAAAGAAAGTTTACGAGCAACATGTACTGACAATAGCCATACATGGGTAAATGGGTAGTAAATGGCAGTGCAGTAAATCTGCCTAGTATGATTAATATCATACTAGGCAGATTCGTATGATATCATGATCGTGGCTCAAGAGTTGGAAGTTTTCCTTGTAATCGGAAGGTAGCCGGGTCGAGCCCCGGCTCGGACAGTCTCGGTCATTGTGTCCTTGGGCAAGACACTTCACCTACCGCCTACTGGTGTTGGCCAGAAGGGCCGATGGCGTGATATGGTAACCTCGATTCTGTCAGTCTGCCCCAGGGCAGCTGTGGCTACAACTGTAGCTTGCTCCACCCAGTGGTGAATGTGAGAGTGAATGAATAGTGGTATTGTAAAGGGCAGCTGTGGCTACAACTGTAGCTTGCCTCCACCAGTGTGTGAATGTGTGTGTGAATGGGTGGATGACTGGGTGTGTAAAGTGCTTTGGGGTTCCTAGGGGGGACTAGTAAAAGCGCTATACAAATACAGGCCATTTACCATTAAATACACGATACACTTACTACTTCATATATCTCACATCATTTGTAACGAGCCACCGAAAGCACCATGTGAAGGCGCGTGGATACCTTCTGTGCGTGAGTGAATGCAACGACTCGGCTGAGCAGCTCCTGTGGAGGTTTGGTGAAGACCATACTTCTCACCCGGTCTGCTGACGAGGTGCAGGGGCATCTGGATTTATAACACGAACTGCTAGTGTCGTCATCATCAGCTGTAGCCACTGAAAAGACTAGAACTTCCGGTGTTGCGTCACCAAAACGACTACAGTTGGATTCGGCCCCGAGTCTACAGTGTCTACGGTCACTGAAGACTCTGGGCCAATGAAAAGACGTAACCGTCTACGGCACAGGTGTCGAACTCCAGGCCTCGAGGGCCGGTGTCCTGCAGGTTTTAGATGTGTCCTTGATCCAACACAGCTGATTTAAAGGCTAAATGACCTCCTCAACATGTCTTGAAGTTCTCCAGAGGCCTGGTAATGAACTAATCATTTGATTCAGGTGTGTTGACCCGGGGTGAGATCTAAAACCTGCAAGACATCGGCCCTCGAGGCCTGGGGTTCGACACCCCTGGTCTACAGTCACCGTAGACTTTGCACTACCGTAGACTACCGTAGTGCGTCATTCGCACAAGCAATTTTTTTGGTTTTCCTATGTAAATGCTTTCTATCTACCATTCACCTTCCAATGGATGCACTGGAGATCAACTTGGGGAACGAAACCACCAACCTTTCAGTTAGTAGGTGACCTACTCTATCTCTTGAGCTGCAGCCACCCAGGCGCTTGCAGCACCTAATATTCCCAGGTGAGGTTTAACCTGAGATTCTGTCGTTTGGGGCAAAATAAAGTTATATTTAAAAATCGATTCAGGATTTTAATGAATCCATATCGTGTTATTCAAGCTAGGATCGATTTTCATCAGAAAATCGATAATCAAAACCCATCCCTACTTCTAAGGCTCCTCAAAACTTGAAATTTCCCCCTCTGAGTTTTTACCTTCTTGTTCTAATGTCTGGCCCTCCTCCACCTCATTTCCTGACAGCTCTAAGAACAACTCCACTTCCACAGTTATGAGTAAAATCCTTTCTGTCTCCCGGTCCTTTGTCATTTGTGGATGAAACGATCTAACACTGATATGAATGTATAGGTGTGCAGAAGCAAGGTTGACAAAAACAAAAGTTAAAATGAGAAGTCTATTTGTCTATTGTTAATATTGTGCCAAACTGAGGAATCTTAACAGTAAAGAACCCATGCTGAGGTTGAGCATGTTATCTTACCCCAAGCAGAAAAAGGGAGAACTTCACTGAACGCTTCTGCTGTATTACACTGTGCTTCAGAGGGTCAATAACTACATGCCTGAACTCACTCATGGTACAAGATTATTTCCATCAAACAATAACTGTCAATGAATTTATACTGCAGCATCAATGAGAACAGTTAAGAGTCACAAAACAATAAACATCTTAAACAGCAACACATATTCCCAAGGCATGATGGGAGCTAACTAGCCACTCCCAACATGCCACAATATGATATTTTAGTAATTACATCTGCTTCTGTCTAATTACTTCAATATGTAACAAAATTTCCTTTAACGGAAATCCACATAGATTTTGAAAATGTATGACATTATTACATCACAACATTCTGTGATTAAACAACACCTGATACAATATACTATACTACAGATGATAAAAACAACAAATACATAACAATTTTGTTAAAAAATGCAATATGTTTGTTTTAAACGCAATGCTTCCATTATTCTAAAAAGATAAATAAATAAGTATCATAACTTGTTTTTCCTCTGGGTCACAGGAGGACACCATGTTTCCACAGTAAGCCTATGAGCCATCAAATACCACCTAAAGTCCCTGTGCTGCATGATAAAACAAGTAAACAGTTAGTGAGAGGAAAATGACAAAATCTAGTTGCAACAAGTTAAGACATTAGGTCAGACGGATACAGGGAAGAGATGGCCTATACAGGACTAAACGGCATCTCTGAAACTTTAATGTCTCCCAACCTGCTAACGGAAACAAGAAAATCGCTTCAGTTTCCTCGCTCAAGATCAAAGTGAAACTAAAGGTAAAACGTTGCGCTTGCAGTTGATTTTAAACGAAACCTCAGACCACAACCACTTCGGATGTTATCAGTTTTTTCTTTTTATTGTTTCAGCTGCAGTCTCAGCGCTGTTAAAACTTTTGAGTGTAAAGATTAAATATATTTTAAAAAAAACATTCAAATATAGTCAACATATAAATTAGATATGGGGTCACCAAGCATAGTGTAGGTGTCCTAAATTGCATCTAAGAATCTGTATCACTGATGATCATCAGGGAAACACAAAGGGTGCGTTTCAAAAGTATCTTCTATTCCTAACCTTTTTTTTTTTTTTGTTCCCTTCCTTCTCATGGTTCCTACACCTCAATGAAAACTAGGAGAACTGATAAGCCCTCAGGAAAAGAGAAGAACGGTTTGCTGAGAATATGAATGACCTTACACTTCTCTCTTTAACAGTCTGACACCGGATTATGAAGGAGGGGCATAGAGGGCCAGATTTACTAATGATATATATGTCAAAGCCTTTACTTGACCAGGCTCAGGGAGGCACAGCCATGTCCCATGACTGGTTGGGGGTAAGGGGAGGGAGTGTGGAAGAGGCCTGGGAGGAGATCACTCCCAAATCCCAGGCCCCCAGAGGTTCAGTTTTGGGGCCTTTATTGTTCTTACTGTATTTACTTCCTCTTCAACACTTATTGAGCACTTTAAGGACATTTCGTATCACTGCTATGCAGATGATATTCGGTTATATATCTCCTTTAAGCCCCATGATGTTTCCAAGCTACAGATTTTGCACAAGTGCATAGACTCCATTAGATGTTGGATGGCTGGAAACTTTCTTCAACTAAATGAGGAGAAGACTGAAGTTCTTGTTTGTGCTCCTAAAAATTTGTACCTAGTGTTATGGAAAACTTGGGTCCACTTGCTACATTTGCAAAACCGTCTATCAGGAGCCTTGGTGTTAGTATTGACTCAGCTCTGACTTTGGATGCCCATGTAAAATCTTTGGTTCGCTCCTGTTTTTATCACTTGAGAAACATTGCTAAGCTGAGTCCCATTGTATCGCACTCCGAATTAGAAATTGTCCTTCATGCATTTGTTTCATCTCGTCTGGACTATTGTAATTCTTTGTTTACTTGTTTATATAAAGCCTCTTTGGAGCGTCTACAAGTTGTTCAGAACGCTGCTGCAAAGCTTCTGACCAAGTCCTCCAAGTTTTCCCATGTCACACCCCTGCTGATTCAGCTGCACTGGCTCCCCGTTAAATTCAGAATCCAGTTTAAGGTTTTGACCTTGACTTTCAGGGCTCTGCATGGACAAGCACCAACATATATAAGTGAACTTTTACATCCATACATTCCCAGCAGGTCCCTGAGGTCATGTGACAGGGCTTGCTTGCTGTTCAACACACGAGGCTGAAAACAAAAGGCGACAAAGCTTTTGGAACTGTGGCCCCCAGATTGTCGAACTCTCTCACTTTGAGCCTGAGATCTGTGGACTCAGTGGTCGCTTTTAAAAAACAGCTAAAAACCCATCTTTTTAAACTTGCTTTTGGTTGATTTTTATTTTTAGGTTTTAGCTTCTGTGAAGCACTTTGTGATTTTTATCTTGAAAGGTGCTATATAAATAAAGTTTTACTTACTTACTTACCATCTGCCACTTCATCAGGAGCATCTCCAGGCATTGTAGGGAGGTCATACAGGCACATGGAGGCAACACACAAACACTACTTAGCCTCATTTTGACTTGTTTTAAGGACCTGACATCAAAGTCGAATCAGCCTGTAGTGTGTTTTTCCACTTTCATTTTGAGTGTGACTCCGAATCCAGACCTCCTTGGTTGTTAAATTTGATTTCCGTTGATAATTTTTGTGTGATTTTGTTGTCAGCACATTCAACTATGTAAAGAACAAAGTATTTAATAAGAATATTTCATTCATTCAGATCTGGGATGTCTTATTTTTCCATCCATATTCAGAAGACTGACTAAAATTTAAATAAGTTGGGCAACTTTAGATGTCGTGTTCCGGCCCAATGACATGAAACCAGAGATCTATAAATGACAACAATCTACAGGGGTCACTGTGACTCAATGAAACGAATCGTTACAAACAAAACAAAACAAAAACCCACTGCTGCTTTCATCACAACGCCAACATTTTGTTTGTAAAAATTAAATACTCGCACATTTTTATGATTTGTCTAATAGCACAATTCCTTCCTTACTTTTAAGTTTTATTTAACATTCTGACTGTATTTTATATTTTGACTGATTACATTGTTGTTATTTTGTACAGAGGCAGCATTGCAAATAAAAGCAGTGAATGTAAGTTTTTGCATATATATTCACACACGTAGAACCTAAAGCTGGTGCGCCAAAATGTCATACCAGGAGGTCCTTTGAATACAACGGGGGAAGCAAGTGAATCAGAAACCCAGAGACCAAACACGTCTAACTGGGAAAAAAAGTATTCCCAGATGCAGAAAGCAATAATAAAACCTGATTTAAAAGACAAAAAAAAAAGAAACTTGCCATAAAATTCGTTGTTCGTTGTACACCAAAATCCCACACATTCCCGCCAG